GTTATTATGCCGCCCGCAGTTGGAATCAGCTTCCAGAAGAGATCAGATGTGCTAAAACATTAGTCACATTTAAATGCAGACTCAAAACTCATATGTTTAGCTGTGCATTTATTGAATGAGCACTGTGCGATGTCCGAACTGATTGCACTATATTTTATGTATAATCGTTTTCTTCAATTCATTTTAAACCTCTTAAATCAATTTTTTAAATCATTTTCAACGTTTTTAAATTCCTTGTTTTATTGTTGTGATTATTTTTTTCTTTTCTTTTATGTAAAGCACTTTGAATTACCATTGTGTATGAAATGTGCTATATAAATAAACTTGCCTTGCCTTGCCTTGCCTTTACAGTTCCGAATGATGTATTATTCTTACCTTCATGAGCAAAAATGACAGCGTAGGGTAATTTAAGTTGTTTCCACTGAAAAAAAAAAATGCAAGTGATTGCGCTGGCGCCTCCATGTCCTGCAAAGCGTGCTTTAGGTTCCACTCGCCGCACAAACTTGGATATAGCGCACATTTACTATAGCGCAGGTTTAACGTTTAAACATTGTTATATGCTTGAACTGTTTTAGTATATCTAGATTTTATTTTAGGCAAGTCGTGATGTTTTGAGAAGGCTAAATTGATCAAACAGGCTCACTGTCTGCCGTTGGCTGCTTGGTCGTTACTTTAAAAAACAAAAACTTATATTTAACGAACGAAAAATGCTCCAAACGTTTTTCTAAATTAACTTAATAAAAAAATTACATACAAAACTGAACTATTGTAATAGCTGAAAGAGTAGTATAAGGTGTTTTGGGAGAAGGGGAAAAAAAAGACGGGCTGGGGTCGGGCCCGGGCCGGTAATTCTGACAAACTGTCGGACAAGGGCCGGGGCCGGGCTAGGGCCTAAATTTGAGGTCCGTGCAGGGCTCTACTGCATTTGTCTTGTCCTCACTCAATTTAAAGTGCTCCCACACAACTAAGGTCTTCGGCACTTTTGTCTTCTCTTCCAGATTAACTGAATCATGTCATGACGTTCACTCATGGGCGATTCATATTCAAGCGCGAATGAGAACCGTTTTGTGGAAAAAAAGAAAAGAATATTCAAATCTCAAAATTGAAAATCGAATGCCAACCCACCGAATGAATATTCGAATAATCGAATATTCTGGTCCAGCCCTAATTGATTTCTTATTTATCTTTTCTTAATAATCTTTTTTTTTTTATCTTGTATGTTTTTTGTAAAAGTGTTTTTTGTGTAAGTGTGCTTTACTTTGTTTCACTTATGTGCTGTCTTGTAGGTTTCACTTGCATATCTGTAAGGTGACATTTCAGGTTTCTTTTGTCTTCTAGCCCACACAAAACTGCATCCTTTTGTCTGTCTCTTCCAAAACATTTGGCCTTAAATGTGAACACTCACAGCACACTCATTGTTCAGATGGCCTGTACAAGAACAATAAACCTGTGTGTAGACAATCGTCTCTGCATTAACGGCAGATGTGTCACACCAGCCTTACGTTCGGGACGGGTTTGTTTTGCATGTGCTCAGGAAAGTTTGCATCAGTTATGTTTGCGTTGATCTGATTTGCACCGTTTTCATCTCAGCTGCATTCAACGCTAATCTTGTTACTGTCTAAAATAAGCTTTCATTCTGTTGATACTTGATTGCTGTGCTTGTCGAGCCTCCGCGTACATTCTGAAATCATCTGTAGTCATGAAGAAACGCAGCGCTGAAGGAGGTCAAACCCAAACGCGCTGCTTGGGTTGAGTTTCCCGCTTTAGAATCGGGTCACCGAATGCGCACAGCCCCAATATAGAGTGATTCACAAGGACATATGTGATGTAAATGGTTGTTTCTGTACTTTATCTTCACATGTGGGGTTACATGTTACAGACAGTACATCCTCAACAGGATGTATCATACACTCAGGTAAACAAGTGGCTCATACTTAAAGGAATAGTTCACCCAAAATGAAACTTTGCTGAAAATGTGCTCACCCTCAGGTCATCCAAGATGTAGATGGGTTTGTTTCTTCATCAGATTTTGAGAAATGTAGCATTACATCACTTGCTCACCAGTGGATGCTCTGCAGTGAATGGATGCCGTCAGAATGAGAGTCCAAACAGCTGATAAAAACATCACAATAATCCACACCACTCCAGTTCATCAGTTAACATCTTGTGAAACCAAAAGCTGTACGATTTTGTAAGAAATTAATCCATCATTAAGATGTTTTAACATCAGATCATTGCTAAAATACGAGTCCATAATACATAATAACGCTTCCTCCTGTGAAAAAGTCCATCTCCTGTTGTCCTCTTACATCAAAATCCACCTACATATGTGTTAAGAGCTGTTTTGGCTTGTAAACAGCGTGTAATCTGTGCAGATTTCTCTCCTGATTCAGACCAGACAACATGTTCATGTTGGAAAACAGTATTAAGAATAGAGAACTCATATTTTAGCTGGAAGCAACAGATTGTTCCTGGCAAAAACACAGTTTTTCACTTCACAATATGTTAATTGATGGACTGGAGTGGTGTGGATTACTTGTGGATTATTGTGATGTTTTTATCAGCTGTTTTGACTCTCATTCTGACGGCACCCATTCACCCACTACTGGACTAAGGGTTGAGTACATTTTCAGCAAATTTAAATTTTTGGGTGAACTATGCAAATTGAGATAAAGCGTTAGTGTGCTGCTTACATAGATAATATTATTGTGTGCTTCTGAAGGTTTAGACACACCTATAATGCCTAAAAATGCTTTCTAGGTAGGCAGTTCACTAGGTTTGGAGATACAGACATGCGTCCATGTCAGGTGATCACAGAGTGTGACATCAGACATCACTGTCTCGACTGTGTATATGATAACAATACTGAAGACAAAGACAGTGTCTTCCTGCTAGTACAAATGTGTATGTATGTGTGTGAATATGTGTCTGAAATATTCATGGCTCTGGAGTCCTGACAGTCCGTCAGCCATATGAAACGGATCTGCCTCAGGACCTGAGCGCTGCACTGGGGCTGCTATGGAAACAAGGGACGGTTTAGTGTGTGTGTGTGGTGTTGTAGTTAACATTCTTTGGACCTTGTGTGTTAAATGAACCTCTGGTTTATTCAGTGAGGGAATAGTCAGCTATCTTTATCCAGAAACACAGGAGTTTAATAAAGGATCTTTCCTGCTGTGTGTTTGGAATGAATACTAGTGTGCATCAGAACTGCCTAATGTAAAAAGTAGTAGGCGATGAAAGGATAAATGTTTGGAACAGTATAAGCCTGAGTGAATATAGTGAGAGGCATAAAGGATTTTTCTTCCAGTGATGACTTAACATTTGCCGGGCCGAGTACTGCGTCAGAAGGAGATTCCGGTTCATTTGTCACACTGAAGTCAGGTCAAGTCAGGTGCATTGCATTGTGTGATACAGTATTTCAAATTGTGTGTTCTACTGTATACTGGCAATACCTTACAAATGATCATTATTTATAATAATAAATATTTATAATAATGTTTTTATTGTTGCAGCAATAAAAGTGTGTATAGGTATTCTGTCTGTTTATTGATTAATATGCAGACTATGCAGAAATATCGCTACTATAATAATAATAATAATAATAATAATAAAACGTCTGGTAACCAATATCCAGAATTTAAAAATATTTAAAAATGTTGTAAAAAACCAAAAAGGAAAAAGATTTGTATTTTGAGGTTTCATTCTCTTACTAAAAACTATGCGGTTTTTTTTACACATTTTTATGTATCTCTTCTGGGTCAAAACGGACCCAAACTCTGGACAGAGTTTAACCCTGAACAGGTCTATATTTTCTCCTCTTTTTTTTTTTTTTGTTGAAGAAAATATAGAGAGATTTTGGGAATAGTTCATGTTTTAAACTACATTTTTTGTCAATGGTATTGCATATTGATATAGTCACAGTTTCATGTGTTTCATAATGTTAAACACATGAAAAACAAAGTGTTTAATTAATGATGCTGGTGTTGTCTTCGTCTCATGTTACTCATGGGAAAAAATGTCATCAACAAATGTTTTCATCTTAGTTTTTGTTAACAAAATTAACACTATTAAAAAGTACCAGGTTGACTTTCAGGTTTCTACGTAGAAAACATAAGATCCATAAAGTTAGACAATCAAATTGAAACCTTCTTAGTAAAAGTAAACTGAAAACCTTTATACAGGTGTGTGAAAATTGTGTAAAAAAATATCTAGGTGAAATATCCTAAACAGACAAATACTTAAAGGAACACTCCACTATTTTTGAAAATAGGCTCATTTTCCAACTCCCCTAGAGTTAAACAGTTGCGTTTTACCGTTTTCGAATCCATTCAGCCGATCTCCGGGTCTGGCGGTAGCACTTTTAGCTGTAGCTTAGCATAGATCATTGAATCTGATTAGACCGTTAGCATCTCGCTCAAAAATGACCAAAGAGTTTCTATATTTTTCTTATTTAAAACTTGACTTTTCTGTAGTTACATCGTGTACTAAGACCGACGGAAAATGAAAAGTTGCAATTTTCTAGGCCGATATGTCTAGGAACTATACTCTCATTCCGGCGTAATAATCAAGGACCTTTGCTGCCGTACCATGGGTGCAGCAGGCGCAATGATATTACGCAGCACCTGAAAATAGGCTTACTGGAAGTTACCTAGCTAGAGACTATTTTGAGGCGCTGCGTAATATCATTGTGCCTGCTGCACCCATGGTACGGCAGCAAAGTTCCTTGATT